AATGTTAAAATACAGGGTGTTCATAAAGTTCGTGTGCAATTTGCTATGTTAAACTATTTTAAATTGCACAGGAACTTCATGTCCTCTGTGTTCCTTAGACGCATTGACCTTGACCTATGTCAAAGTTCAGCATGGAATTATTTTATAACACAGGAGTAAAAGTACCGTTGTTCTACCTACCAAATTTTTTTTTAAATCTGAAAAAATGCTGCAGATGCTTTTCTGTGAGTTAAATAGCCTTATAAAAAATATTTTTTTTATTGCTGCATTCCATCAAGTTGGGTAACCACATGAAGACCATGGCTGAGCACAAAGGTTATTTACAGTGGTTCACAGTCCTAGCCATTCTCTGAACATCATTGCATAGAAAGCTCTGAAACATTTCTGATTATTTCCTTCAGCTAAACTCTTAGAAGTATTACTACTTTGTCAAGGTGTCTGCATATTTCAAAGGCCTTTTGATGAAAGCTGAAATTGCCTTCCAGAAATGATGTACCAGCTGACAATGGCAAGCACCAATTATATTTAAGGAGACCTATGATGAACTCTGAAGAAACAATTAGCCTTTCTCAGTAGAAGAGGATAGACAGAGACTACCTGACAGCAGTTAGAGGGTGACCTTCAAGAAAGCCACAGAAATACTGTGGGGAATTGAAACCTGACATGGAAAATGTACAGGGGTGTCTCAGTGTGACTGTGGGGAAGGGGTTTGGGTACAGAGTTGAGTAGACCTTAATAGAGTTTGGTCATTCAGCAGAGGTCTAATAGATGAACTCTCTTAATCCGTGCTCTGACTTTTGAGAGAGGAAGCTTGAATATTTTCCATGTCTCTTCCTCTTACCCATAATACCCTTGGAAGACAGAGAAGTAGTATCAGTTCCATTGTGTTTATACTGGGCTCCCCCAAGGGACAAACCCACTTCCCCATCCTAAATGACCCATCACTTCTTCCCCAGTTCACATTTTCATTGCTTTTTGAATGTCTCCGTTTTGTCTGGGAATTCACACATGGTCATAATTTCTTACCTAAAGAAGAAGTTACCAGTGTTCTTCTCCACCAGTTGCCCTAATGTGGGCTTTAGAAGTCAAAGACCGTGTTTATTTATATGGTCTCTGTATTCCTCCTTTTCTTCCCCCACTAATGACAGCTGCACTCCAAGGGATTAGAGCAGTCATCCTCAAACTACGGCCTGCGGGCCACATGTGGCCCACCTAGGAATTTATCCAGCCCCGCTGGGTGTTTTTGCTGCCGCTGCCTGTCCTGCTTAGCAGCCAACTGGTCCCGGGGCCGCAGTCTGGCCCTCCAACTGTCTGAGGGACAGTGAACTGGCCCCCTGTTTAAAAAGTTTGAGAACTCCTGGATTAGAGCCTTGGAGGAGAGGGTAGGATGGGAAATTAGGAAAACATTAGCTCTTACCCATCATTTTCCTTTATGTGTTTTTAATATCACATTAGTATTTTGTAATTGTGGTATATAATCAATTCTGGCCTAAGAGAAGGACAGATAGATAGTTGCTGCAAAGCCATTTCAACATGTGTGTTCTTGCAGGCCTGTAGACCATCCCTATTCCCCTTGTACAGGGTTGATGGAAAAGAAAGAAATAAGAATTGGGCACCTAACCTTAGCAAGAGGATCATGACTCATTTATCCTTTTTGTATATGTCTTTTTAACATGAAGGGTTCATATAGATGGATAAGAAACCAGTAACATAAACAGACCAAAAATGATTAGATAATTTACAAAACAACTAAACAATAAACAAACCCATGAAAAATTCAAGTTGTCACTTTTCAGTAATCAAATTAGCAAAAAAAAATTTTTTTGTAAAAACAAAACACAGTACTAGGTGAAGAAGGTACAGTGTAATGGTACTAATTATCATTAGCATGTGTCAAAAATCAGGAAAATATTCTTTCCCCTCTATCAGCCATTCTTTTGGGGGAAAATCTATTTTGGGGGCCCAGTATGGGGCCTGGCACACAGAAAGCACTCAACAGATTTTTGCTGAATACACAAATACTTATGATACTTCAAAAATTGGCAATAATCTGATCCCTAACAACAGAGGAATTAAATATTACGGGATGGGACCATCAAATAAGGATATTCTGGGAAATAAGGTATCCTGGGAAATATGTCCATTTTAAATGAAAAAATAGGCTTAAGTGTATGATAAGGTTATAATTACTTTTTAAAAGATTATAGGGGAAAAGACTAAAAGAAAATATGTACTGAAATGCTCACAAGCAGTGACTGGGTTTCTCAGCCTTGGTGCTTTTGACATCTTAGGCTCAATATAACCTTTCTTTGGAGTGCTGTCCTGTGCATGGTGATATGTTTGGCAGCATCCCTGGCCTCTACCCCTAGAGTCCCCATCACCTCCCCACACCAACCCCATTTTAATGATCAAAAATGTTTCCAGGCATCACTAATTGTTCCCTGGGTGAGAGTGATGAAATAGTAAGTTATTTTCCCTTCTCCCTACCCCGTTTTCTGTAATGTCATTTTATTACTTCTATAATAAAGAAAAAAATAAAATTAACTCAATTCCAACCTCACTACTGTTGTTCAGGCTCTGTTACGGGTTTGTTTGTTTGTTTCCCATTTATTTGTCTACCAAGCACTCTGCAGCTTGGCAAGGTAAAATAATTCATTAAATTCTACTTGTATTTTTTTCTGATAACAAAAGTAAAACATTCATTCATTGGAAAATTTGGACACAAAAAACACCAAAGAAATGTTTATAATCTCATCTGTCTTTTTCTATCCTTTCTTCCTTTTAAAAACTTGCCTATCCTCCCTCTAATGCAACTCCTAAATAGAAACACTGTTAGCATCTTGGACATTTCCTATCTCTAAAGACACACACACACACAGAGACACACACCATTTTTCTTTTTCTTTTTAGCAAAACTGGTTTTCTGCTACATATACTGTTTTTTAACTTACTTTCTTCACTTTACAAAATCAATACATACAGATGTATTGACTTCTGTCCTTAATGATATTATATTATATGAATACTAAAATTTATTTAATCATTTAGGCCATGTAGGGTATTTCCCAGTTTGGAGCTGTTGTTAAAAATTCCCATCCCTTGGCTCGGCGCCTATAGCTCAACCGGCTAAGGCGCCAGCCACGTACACCTAAGG